ATGTCAGCTTCAACATTAGTAGATCCTTTTTTATATTTTATATCAAAATCATACATAGATAATTTTAAAGACCACCTAAATAGACGACCAGTAGGGTGTTTTATATTTTTAAGCCAAACTAAAGCAGCATGATCAGTATGTACAGTAAAATGGTTACCATGTAAATAATAATAAAATTTATCAATTGCATCAATAATAGATAAACATTCCAGCTCAGTAATGGCATAATTTTGTTCATAAGATCTTAATTTTCTAGAATGAAAAGCAATTGGATGTAAACTACCATCAGGATGTTCTTGTTTTAAAACAGCACCAACAGCTTCTTTGGACGCATCAACAAATACATGACAGGGATATTTAGGATTAAACAAAGTTAAAATAGGTCTAGAAATCAATGCATCTTTTAATTTTTGAAAAGCTTTTTGACATTCATCAGTCCAATTATAAGGAGTATCTTTCTTAAGTAAATTTGTTAATGGGGCTCTAATTTTAGCATAATTTTGAATAACTACGCATCTACAGTGTTCCGTCATTTCCTTTGCAATTATTATGACAATTAAGCCGGTAAGGATAGTTTCCTGCAGCCTGAAACCTCAATTGAAAATTTAGTTCAGCTCTTCAAATCATCGTTTTGTGATAAATCCAAGATAATGTGAAAGAAGTGAATCATCAAATTTGTTTTTTCAGTGTTTAAAAAATAACAGATCAGAAGTGAATCATCAAATTAGTTTTTTCAGTGTTTAAAAAATAACAGATCATTCTTCTGCTGTGTGTTTTGCAAGTGCTTCAAAAAATAACCACGCGTAGTGTTTACAGATTGGAAGTAATCTCTCGATAAATTGAGAAGTTTGAATGCCTAGTGAAAACGAATATTGAATTTGCTTCGCCGATCTCTACAATATTTAGAAAAAAAGTGCTTTGAATCAGCAGTGAATTACCGCTTAGGAATTCGGCATTACAGCGGGTTCAAGGTCGATCCGAGTTAGTGTTTGCAAGTATGTGCGACAGAAAATTATTTGCACTTCCGCTTTTTCAACAGCTCAAAAATTATTACATTCGTGTGAATCTAGCTCAGGAACTAAATTATTTAATGTGCTGCGGATTCTATAGTTTTCATTTCAACTTTGGTTAAAATTTCTGCAATTTGTTTTGAGAAAATCTGAAATTCTTGTTCATTAATGTTTCTAATTTTTCATAATTATATGGGAGCAAATTAAGTAACGAATTTTAAGCTATTTAAATTACTCATAGGGAAGGATATTAAGATAAGTTTTTATGTTTTTGAAATTTTGTTGAGAATTTTGAATACGAATTTTATAATTATTCTAAAAATGAAGTAGGTGTAAAAATAAGTGAAATTATTACAGATATGTAATATGAAGTTATGGTAAATGCATGTTAAAATGTATGGGTTATTGTGTGTTAAGTATAGTATGATGAGGGTGTACTGGTTCCTTCAACAGAGGCCTGCAATTACCTCTGTACAGTTGTTCCTTTTACCCTCTTCATGCAAGATAATGTTGGAGGCTCTCATTTTATGAATGCATGTAAATTTTTTATATTATTATTATTATTTTTTATTATGGAAGGTATTAGTGCAGTTCTCAAAGGCCAGTTACCTTAATGCAAGGAACGGAGGCCTTTTCAAGTAACTGCCTAGGCACCCTGGGCCACCAGTGCAGAGAACACACTGGTTAGCTCAAGAGGACAGCCCTATTGATGGATATGTTTGTTTAGAAGTATTGCGAGGCTTCCAGTTTGGTAAAATCAGGAATTGTAAATGAAAGATGATAACGGTGAAACCATAAATTCTGAAAATCTTAATCCTATTATTTATGATGTTAAATTATAATTTATCAGTTATAGAAATAAGTATCATAAATATTTATGTGCATTACATTTAATTATAAGTAATGATTATGTAAAAGTTTATTTTGTGAGATTCTGTAATAACAAGAACCTTCCCTGAAGAATTATGATTATGTGAACTCTCAAACAAAAAGACTTTTGGACTGAAATGCTGAAAAAGTCAATAGGACTCTAAAAATTAAATAAAAATTAAAATTTATTTTAAAAAATTGATATTTATAAGTTATACTTTTATAGAATCAAAATTTTATGATTTATGTTTTTTTTTTTATTTGCTAGTGCTTTAACTCTCTCTTTAAAAAGGCTTCTCTGTCGCTACACCTTTTTCTTTTTGAAGGGGGGAATATGTAAGATAAAATTATATGAATCAGAATAACTAAAAACATTAATTCTTCCTCTTTATTCTAAAATCGTAATAACTTCTCTGCATTGCGTCATTTCTAGATCACTCTATGGCCCGCGCAACTCTGATGACGTAATAATTAAGAACTGAAACTGACCTTGTAAACCAAAACTTTTCTCTTCGCGTGCTTCCATCTTGCATAACTAAGCACTTCAGCTTTTGCTCTGTGCTGTGCTAAGGTGTAATTTCGCTGGCTTGCTTTCTATCTCAAAAATATCAAAAATGTAAATCTTCTGTGGAAAGGCACGGAGATGAGTGGACAATTTTGGATATAATTAAACTGCCCTGCATTTTAAACTACGCATTGCAAATATAGATCGATCTGCACTTTGTTTTTATATATATTAATAATTTTCTCAGTATTGATAATTGATTATATTATCTCCTAAGTTTAATTAAAGTAGAATTATTTTAAAAGTGTGAATCCATACTGGTAAGTTATATTTTGAAAGATGTTTTGAAGTAATTTGAAAGCAAAATGTTAATAATGTTTTAACGGGGACTGGAGTTAAATCATCATGAAGAATAAAATTTCAATTGTAAAAGGAAAAATTAAAACATGTAATCATTGTCATTGATCGGAAATTAGTTGACTTTTCAAGGGGAACAAACCAACTCCCGTTCAATGAACAATAATTGATAAAAATACGTAAATACGAAAGTGTTTCGTCTTTACTCGAGTTATAAGTTAAAGCCAAACCGGCAATTCTAGTCAGGCCAAATATTTCCGCGAATAGAAGGAATTATGAACCAATGCTGATACTCAAAGAACTTATTCTTATGAAGCATTTTAGTCAATTCAATTTGGAGTAAAAATCAATTACTGTAGAGAAATCCTATTTAACTCGAGTAATCGTCCCCGACACTTTCATGTTTATGCATTTGAGTACTATATTATTTGTAGAAATTAAACATTGGAAATTGTCATTATGAAATCGAATTCAAAGTAAAGTTGAAATAAACATAGAAGATTATAAAAAAATAAAGATAAATAATGCAAACTTTGTAAAAACAAATCAAAGACAATATAAAAATAATATAAAAAATAATATAGAAAATAATATAAATAAGATCAGTGAATGTACATGAAGATATAAAGGCCAGAAAAGGTATTAAGTAACTTACATTCTTTCTAGTGGGGGAGTTGGCAAAGTGTTCTCTTCGTGTCTGACTCAGAAGTGTAGGGTGTCCGAAAATTCTTAGCGGCAGTAGGGGCTTTGAATAATATCAGTCGGTAAGACTTGGGTGAAGTAATTTATGGTAGTGGGTGGGACTTGGAATACTTGAGGGATGTATTTTGTGGAGTTCTTATCTGAGAGAGACCGTCTGTTAAGATTTTTTTGAAAATACTAGTGAATGGAAATTAATTAATTTCTGGCTAATTGTCGTGTTACACGTCGTCGTTATGTATATACATATATACATATAATTAAGAGATTCTACGACTCAAATTATGCCAAAGTGCCAAGTTTTGTAAAAATCGCACGAGTAGTTTCTAGAAAACTAGCTCTCAAAACTTTAGCTCCTCCTTGTTAATTGAATTTGGTATATATTTATCAATATCTCTTTTTTTAATAACTTACGTGATTCCTTCTTTCACCATTCGAAATTTAGGTTCAATCCAAATACAGTTTGCAGCTATTTTCTGATTTGTTTTTAGAAATGATATTTTTAGTAATTTTTATGCATTTTTCCCAAACAGTTTTTGAATTATTACCTATAAAGGTTTTGCCATCACCTTGAAGTAGAATGCTAGGCAAACCTGCAAAAAATTGGAGCTTTTTAATTCAAAATTTCCCAAAATATAACGTGAATTTATGCATTGGCGCATTTTGAAATTTGGCATATTTGTTTTAAGCGATAATGACGCCAAGTGTGCTTTACACACTTTGTAACATTATTTGAAAAAATGAACGTTAAACCATTTTTTTGGCCGCCCGTACGCTATGAAAGGGGAAAGAAAACAGGTTATCATAAATTAAGAATTTTTCCAAGTAAATTATTCTTGGCGCAATCTGAAAAAAAAATGTGCCAAGATAAATGTTTGAATTTAAATCTAATATATATCTCGAGTCGCGCTTTCGAGAGATGAAAAACGCAAGTTAAATTTCGTCAATCGGCGCACTACAACGGGAGATATAGAATTTTAGAAATTTCCTTTTTGTGTGTGTGTGTGTGTAGAGATATACCATTTTCCTATTGATTGTGCAACAAGAACATAATATTATATCTCAGTGGTCTTTGATTTTCTTTGTTACACTCTGTACATACTGAAAGTTTGTATAGATTTATAGCAAAATTATAAATTTTCTCACTGATAATCTAATAGCGCTACCCGTATGCAACGTAAAAGTCTAGGAAGATAAACAGCTCTCATTTGTGGCTCTGACGTTACCATTGTCCTATTCATTGTCCAACGAAAACATAATATTATACCTCAGTGGTCTTGGATTTTCTTTGTTACACTCTGTACATACTGAAAGTTTGTATAGATTCATAGCAAAAATTAAAAATTTTCTCACTGATAATCTAATAGTGATAGCCGTAGGCAACGTAAAAGACTAGGGAGATAAACAGCTCTCATTTGTGGTTCTGACTCTACCATTTTCCTATTGATTGCGCAACGAGAACATAACATTATACCTCAGTGTCTTTGATTTTCTTTGTTACACTCTGTACATACTGAAAGTTAATATAGATTTATATCAAAAACTATAAATTTTCTCACTGATAATCTAATAGTGCTAGCCGTATGCAACGCAAAAGACTAGGAAGATAAACAGCTCTCATTTGTGGTTCTGAATCTACCCATCTGTTCACAGCCGAAAATACTAAGTGTTCACTCTTCACATTTAAGTTATCCGAGCTTAGGATGGTCACCAAATCGTCCGCTTCGAGATTCAGGAAATCAGCACTTGTGGGAAATATCTAAAAAGGAGAAAATATTCTATGAAAAGAAAGGTTACTCCAAATTAGGCTTATTTATATAAAGAAACAAATTTACATAAAAAAGACATATATTTAAAGTAGGTCTAAAATTCAGATTTTTTCAAATATATTAGACTTATCAGGGCTAATAATAATAAGTCATAAGAGGACTAAACAAAATAATATTTGAAGTTTACGTTCGGCATAAACATGAGCATGATTATACTGCTTTGAATTTAAACTTACAATTCAGTCATGAAAATTTAGACACAGGGCGAAGTGTCAGCCAAGTTCGGAACAGACGGAAAAGAAACTAGCCAGACACCGGTCATTACACGAACCCTTTCGAGCTACTTTCGACCCTACATTACTCCAAAACTATTAAACCTACAAATTTGCAATTTTGTATGTCTAATAACGCACCCTTGAACACCTAGAATCCCAAATTTCAATAATCTAACTTTTATAATTATGGAATTATTAAGGTCTGAAAAATGTCATTGTTATAACTGACTGATTCATCAAAACCCTAGTCCAGCGGTTCTCAGCCAGTGCTACGCGTACCATTGGGTGGTACGCAAGAGAAAAATAGGTGATACGCAAAGGAAAAAGCATTTTCAAACTATTAAATTCAAAAAATTAAATACTCCAACATTCTGTTAAAGTTTTTTTTTTTCTCTAAGACTCGTAAATTTATGCGATCTGAGCTTTGTTCAAGAAAAATATTTTCACAAATGTTCTTTTAGTTTCGCAAATATTCTTTTAGCCATAGATATAACAAAATAGAAATGAATGTTGTATTTAGTAGGAAATAAAAGTAAGTTCATATAGATAGGTAATGATATCTCATTAATTCTCTTAGAGTTGATCGATTTATTAGAATATGTTCCTTTATTTGCCACCATTTCCGGGCTCATATTGCTCAACTTTCATTTAGACGCTTTTTTTTTTTTTTTTTTTTTTTTTTTTTTTTTTTTTTTTTTTTTTTTAGTCGATTTGCTGTCTCTTAACAGCAGGCATTTTGTCTTCTTTTTGCTTTATATACCTTACTTTTCTACGCTATTTGAGACTATCGTCGATTATTTTTCGAAAAACTCGTGATATATTGCGCATTTAAATAGTTGGGAAAAAATAATAAAACAAACCTAGATTTTTAAAAATGGAAAAATGGTTAGGACTGACTAAGCGAAAAAGTGTGAATCTTTACATTATGGTAACGGCGATTTTTTGGCGAAAATTTGGCGACCAACCCTGCTACAGCAACTTGCTAATTTTGTTTTGGACGCCATTTTGTTTTCACGAAGTGAAGGCTTTTTTTTTTTTTTTTTTTTACTCAACATTTTTTCCAACAATCTGCTAGCCGAATTACGCTACTAGAACTTTTATGGAACAAAAATGCTTAATCATGACGAAGATTAGGTGCGAAATGGGGGAAAGTGCAGAATCACAAACTGCTTGCTGCGTTTTTAAGAATTGCACATACACGGTATCCATGTATACGTCGACCTATTTTCACTTAAAAAAAATCCGAGAATTGCACAAAAATGGCATTGCGCACACTCTTTGTACACATCGACCTATTTTCCCTTAAAAAGTCAAAGAAAATTGACAAAAATCGAATTCTTCTTACTCCTGTAAAAACCGCCAAACAAATAAGTGGGCGATTCTGCACTTTAGCAGCGAAATTGTTTCTAAGTGCTTATTAGCTAAAATCACGATCGGAATTTTCTCGAAAATGTCACATGATTTGTCTCATAATCTCTCATTTCTCTGAGACAAAATAATCTGTGATTCAAACTGTGTACTTCTCAGATTATTGCTAAAGTCCTAGCTAGTAACCTTTATCGCCTTACTAAAATGTCGCCAAACTACCTAAAACTCTAGAACTGTTACCATATTCTAGAGATTAGGCCGAAAATGTGTTGATTCACAAGTGAAGGATCCAGGATAATGTACTACCACTAAGAATATTGAAAAGAAAAGAAAAACTGTTGATAGAAAATATAATGAAAGTTATCGTATGATTTGTGTTTTCTTGGGATGGAGATGAAATGGACCCTCAACCTCAATGTGTTATTTTTGGTTAACTATTATCCAATCAAAGTACGAAACCAGCGTTCCTTAGAAGACATCTCTATTATAAGCATGCCAATTCAAAGGATAAATCTGAAGAATATTTTTAAAAGGAAATCAGCGACGTTCAAAATTAGTAAACAAGTAATGAAAGGTTTTGCAACTTCAAGTAAAAAAGCTTTGGAAACTCGTTACCTTCGAAGCCTAAGAATTGCCAAGACTGGGTAGACTTCACACTATTGGAAAAAACGTTACGTTACCAGCAGCTAATGATATCGTTTTAACATTATTCAATAAAAAATCGGCTAATGAACTTGAAATTTATTCCGTTATCAAATGATACAGTAAGCTAACCAATTCATGAAATGGTGACTCATTATTTAAAAAATAAAACACACTGAGTATTTTGCATATGAACGGGATGAAAATACTGATATAACGAATTTTGTCCTATTATTAGTTTACATACCTTTCGAAGAAGATAATTGCCTCATTTTGTGATTCTTTTCCCCCCCGGAAACATAAAAATCGCTTTGAATCAAGCTGTGAAAATTGTTAATTTTATTAAAAGACGAACAATAAATTCAAGAATATTGACAATTTTATGCCAAGAGATGGGTAGTGAACATGAAACGCTTTTGTTACATTCCGATAAAAGGTGGTTATCCAAAGGCTACGTTTCAAATCGTCTTTTTGAACTTCGATCAGAAATTAAAATTTTCCTCTGTAATTAAATATTTGAATTGCAAAACTTTTTATTTAGAGAATTACGGTTGATACGTTTAGCATATTTAGGTGATATTTATGGAGAGTTAAATGAAATAAATTTAAGATTACAAATATAAAGGGTACTTACTATTCGGTTTCGAGGGCCGTAAAAATCGCCAATCTATTGTTGATGCCAATGCTGTCAAAAATAATTGCAGCAAGAAAGGAAGTATAATAGTAAATAATTATTTAAGATTGATGTGTTAATTTAGATGAAAAGTTAATTTCATATAATATTTTTTATTATTATAATCTATATAAAAAAGGCTCAACATGACTGAATGGAAGCATAAGAGTAGATAACTATTTTAGATCATTATTATAATTTATATAAAAATTGCTAAACATAACTGAATGGATGCCTGCATCGCTTATTTCGCTACACCCAGTTATCGCTAACGCATAATTTCATCTCGTTGGTTGTTCAAACGTAATTTTCTATAATGAATGAAGCTTTTCTTTGAAAAAAATTCTCTGTAAAGTGCAGGAATCGCTAACTTATTTGTTTGCCGCTTTTTACAAGGGTAAAAACAATTGAATTTTGTCAATTTTCTTTTACTTTTTAAGTGAAAATAGGTCGATGTGTACACAGCTAAAATCAAGGGTGTGCGCAGTGCCATTTTTGTGCAATTCTAGGATTTTTTTTAAGTGAAAATAGGTCCGATGTGCACATTGGATATCGAGTATGTGCAAATTCTTGAAAAACGCGTCAAGCAGTGGGTGATTCTGCACTTTACCCAAAATTCTATTGCCGACTTTTCGTCATGGGCAATTCCCAAATTGTTAAATCCATAGTATATCAAAAAAGATTTAAAATCAAAAAAGATTTAAAAATTAAACTAGTATTTCAATCGCGTCTTAAGAAATATAGAACTACTTTATAAACTTACGCAATCTGAAATCAGCGCCTACGCTAGATTTGACGCTCTGTTAAATGGGCGCGTTTGTTAGATTTGGCGCTCTCGCGCGTACATTTTCGCTGCAATTTTTTTACGGCTCTCGAAACCGAATAGTACCAAAGTTTTTAACTGAAAATAATTTGAAAATAAAAGAAGAATTAGTGTCCCACATTAAAAACATTACTTTTCATTGATAAATAATTTCAACATGTATTTTCCCGAGGATTATGAAGACGAAAATTGGATTAGAAATACATCTTGTTCAAATATACCTGAAATTTTATCTCGTGAAGAAAAGAACAGATGATAGAAATTTCCTGTGATCGAAGTGAAGATTTCAAAAATAACACACTTGCAAACTTTGGCTGAACCAAAAAGAAGAATTTAAAGGCATTTCAGATAAAGCGATTAAATTCTTATTACCTTTTTCCACAACCTATTTGTTTGAACAATGATTTTCTGCCATGTCATATTTAAAAAATAAATACAGAAAAAATTAAAAGTGGATCCTAATTTACGATTAAAACTAAGCGAGACATAAACAAATTGATCTCTTAAGCAGGCCCAAATTTCAATAACTTAAATTAAAATTTTAAAGATAAGTAAAATGGTAACCAATTTTTAATCTAATATTTTTGATGTACACATTTTTAATACAAATAGCCAATGGGCTTGCAAATGGCAAAATATCTTTTTTTTAAATGTTCCTATTGGGAAACTGAAAAATAATCATTGTAAAATGTATTGGTGGTACTAAAATTTTTCAGTTTTTGTTTAGATGATAAGCGTTTGTTAACTCTTTGCGGCACAGCGTGTCCGGTCTAAACACACCTAAAAATTTCCTTCTGTACGCACAGAAAAATTGAATGACAGAGGATCTATAGGTTACTATAGGTTACTCTGAACCTTCTTTATTTATAGCAGATGGCAGTTCAACACAAACCAGTCCATATATTTTAGCCATGTTTAGTTTTTTAAAACACCCATTTTTCAAAGAAATCTTCCAGATTTTTTTAGGATATAAAAGGAATTGTTTGAGAAGAAATTTCTGTTTTTTTTTTTTTTTTTTTTTTTTTTTTTTTTTTTTTTTTTGCTGTAGCTAATCTCCTTATTCTATATTAGTTTTGGTGAATCTTTAGATTATGGTAACTTGGCAATTTTTTGGCGAAAATTTGGCGACCAACCCTGCTACAGCAACCTGCTAGTTTTGTTTTGGACGCCATTTTGTTTTCACGAAGTAAAGGCGTGTTTTTTTTTTTTTAACTCAACATTTTTTTCCAACAATCTGCTAGCCGAATTACGTTTATACTAGAACTTTTATGGAAAAAAGTGCTTAATCATGACGAAGATTAGGTGCAAAATTGGGAGAAAGTGCAGAATCGCAAACTGCTTGCCGCGTTTTTAAGAATTGCACATACACGGTATCCAGGTACACGTCGACCTATTTTCAATTAAAAAAAATCCCAGAATTACACAAAAATGGCATTGCGCATACTCTTGACTTTATGACTCTTGACACTTAAAAAGACAAAGAAAATTGACAAAAATCCAATTCTTCTTACTCTTGTAAAAAGCGCCAAACAAATAAGTGGGCGATTCTGCACTTTAGCAGCGAAATTGTTTCTAAGTGCTTATTAGCTAAAATCACGATCGGAATTTTCCGGAAAATGTCACATTACATGGGTACTACTTTGGTAGACGGTTGCACGTATTTTTGGCGATTTACATTGGCGCGGTTTTTACAGTCGTCAGGCATCTTGAAAAATGCTGTTTTTACGTATTTTACGCATATAGTAAAGTATTCGAAACTTTAAAAAAATAAATATCTTTAAAAATAATGGATTAATTTTTTGTTGAAACCGTTGATTTTTAAGATGGCTGGTAAATGTAAATAAATGCATTTACTAAGACTATAAAATGCTAAAGTAAGGTTAAATTATTATTTTCATATAATAGAATAAAAACACCGCTATAAAAACATTGCGCAACATTTAATTGCATTAATTTATTACTTAAATTGAATATCGAATTAAAAACATCATACCAACTTTTAAAAGAACTAAAATATTAGTTAAATACTTTAAAATAAGTTTTATAGGATTTAATTATTTAACATTAAAACATGTGCGGCAATAAATATCTCAGGAATTTTTAAAACATTGTAGTAATTTTTAATAAAAATTGAAGTATACAAATATGAAGTAAAAGAAAATTATGTACTCACATTTTTTAACCTGTCGTATATTGATAAGTACCAAAAAAAAAAAAAAAAAAAAAAAAAAAAACCCGTCCGCTAACGATCTTCATCTGTGTGATCCACATCTCTCACACTTCATTGAAGAAGCAATTAGCTAGGTTTTCTCCAAAAATTTAAAATAAATTTCCCCTGACGTTATTAGCAATTTATAAATAAATCTTTGATTAGGAAAGCAAGGTTGGCCAAAATAAGGTCTCAAACAGCAATTTTTTTATTCCGATACCAATAATCCTTGTAATTACCAATAACAACATTCATATTCGAAACGTACACATCCATTCGCTTTGAAATCTGAGAAATTCGAAGAGATGAATAATAAAATTTTAAAATGGCGCGGTAATGCACAAATATTCAGTAACCAATCAGGGAGCTGATTACATCACGCATAGAATTAAAATTATTTAAATAATCATTCATAATAAAATCATATTTTAAAAAAATGCAAAATTAAATTGTATTTTAATATTTAACACCCATAAATAATGTTTAAAACATTAGATTAAATTTATAGTTAATAAAACCAATTACTTTTAAAATAATGTGACGTCATTCATTACATCATTCACAACATAAAATTCCATAAAATATCATAAACAATAAAATTTTTATTTCAAAGAAAAATGCAAAATTTAATTGATTTTTAATATTTAGAAGCCATAAATAATATTTAAAACACGGATTTTATGCACAATAAAACACATTATTTTTTAAATAAAATGACAGCAAAGTATCGGTTACCATAAATAATTTATCCAGCAATGGGTTTACCATAAGTTGTATTACTCGCCAAAAGAAAATCGCCAAAATCCGTGCAACCGTCTACCAAAGTAGCACCATTACATGTCTCATGATCTCTCATTTCTCGGAGACAAAATAATCTGTGATTCGAACTGTGTACTTCTCAGATTATTGCTAAAGTCCTAGCTAGTAACCTTTATCGCCTTACCAAAATGTCGCCAAACTACCTGTTACCATATTCTAAAGATTAGCCTTAGTTTAAAATTTTTACCTTTAAATCTTTACTAAAATCAAACGGCGAACCCTACGTGTGCCCAGACCAGGCTCACCGACAATCTAGGACAACTGAGAGTCTGTATTCTTTGTTTGTCCGCATCTCATCGATCAGTTCATTGACAACAATGCTCGTTTCAGCACTCTTTTCGAAGCTCTATTCAATCAGTGCGCCCACTTTGGGCACACCCACAGAATTAAACGATAAGTGCTATCTTCACAAAATTTTACTTGTGTACTCCTCTAGGCCTAATTAGACTGCCTACATTTTTTCCTGGTTTTCCCCAAGCGCAACGTAGATACGTACTAATTTCAGTCAAAAGTCCTCCACGATAGCATTTCACTCTATAGGCAGACAGCTGTTAAGCTGCTTTGCCTTAATCAATTAGCAACTCGCTACTCTCTGTCGAAATGAATTCGAAAACTGTGTCGAAATTCTTGCACAGTTTGTAATAGAAAACACATCTGGAAATATAATTAACATTACACTAAAAATTTGACTAAAAAATTTTCTATGGCTTTGCAAATTTGCTGAAAACTTACCTCTTGAAAATGGGCCATTATGTACGATCTAGCCTTGTCTTTCAGATCTTCGTACTGAAAATATTTCGCAAACATGTATATGCTAACACAGGTTTCGTTGTTAAGTTTCATGAGAAGAAATGTTTTACACAGTTGAATGATACTTGGCATCTGCAGCATTTCCGCTGCTCTGCACAATGCATTTACTTTGTCCAATGCCAGACATAAATCTCCTGTATATATATAATTGATGATGTTGGCCATAATTTCCTTAGACACATTTGGAAGATAAATATTATCCCATGGGGTATCTCTTGAATTAGTAACTATCCTTTTGAAATATGGACTTATGCCAGCAAGGATTTCAATGTGAACTTTAAACACTCCACCATCTTCAGTTAATATAGTGCAATTCACTAGTTCTTGGTTGTCATATAACTCTTTCAGCACAGTTCTGCACTTTTGGAAATGGTTCATATCAAAACTGTGATAATTGTATTAAATTTAAAAAACTATGGAGATTAAAAAATAGGAAGCATGTTAATAAAGAAGCTATTGATAACGGTTATTGTGCTATTTTAATTTGTTTAAGACTGGATATGGATTTACAGTAAGAAGCTCGCGTTCAACAAACTTCAGAAAAATGCATCGCGTATTGCCACTAAAAATTCAGTAATAAAGTATGGGAATAAAATACCTTTTCTTTACAATGTACTTTTATCCTGTCATTATATAGGTTTCTTAATAATTTAAAAGATTTATATCTTAGTAGCTTCAATTTGTCATTCATTTTTATCTTAATGATTTCAAAGATACCAATTTTGAAATTATATTCCAGAAGGATAAAGGATTAGTATTTCATGGACAATATTTATATGAAAAAATTAAAACGAAATTAACTTTCGTATTTAAAATATTAAGATGAAATTTCTTCATTGTGATGACATACATAATGTTTGCTAACTCAAATTATCAGCTTTTGTTAAAGAGAAAAATACAGTAAATAAATTTGAAATGTGACTTCCTCGTTAACGCAGCTAACACCTTTGGTGAACTTTGAAAATTATATGTTATTAACTGAGCGAGTGAGTATGCCAATTTTGATGACGAAGTGCGATGGCAACTTTAACAAGTACAGATGAAATGTGTTAAATGCTATAAGTCTGAAACAATATCTTATTTAATCAAATTTTTATGCTATATTAACACCGTATTAATTACATCTGTCGATTTGTTCTGCATGCTACTATATATATAAAAAAATCAGATTTAACTTTCATAGTTACTAAATATTGGTAGTCTCTTCATTACTGAAAGGAAGGCTTCAGTTTTGGTTTATTTGATTATGGTAAAGATTACTGAAAGAGAAGATTTGTTGCCCCACCCCAAAAAAAGCGTTGGAAATATTCATTTGCTATATTGAACTGTTGCACACTGGATTGAGAAAGTGTAGCTACTGTTGTTTTGAGGTGCATTAGAAGTCAGCATCCACTTTCAAAGAAATTTCAGGGGCCGTTGCTGACCTTTGCTTAACAGGCGGTAATGGCTGAAGTACATCAATAAACGGAGGCGCAAACATAGACTTGATTCGCGACGTACCGTAACGCCCTGTAGTGGTTTCTTCGCGAACGAACAGCAAACTTAATTATTGCAATTGACAAACTACACTACCAGCGCACAATCGGAAACAATGCATCAGTTAAATGAATGGCTTCATTCAGCTTCATTACAAAGACAAGGTTTAACCAGTGTCGTAGCAAGCATAACTGGCGCCCGGGGCAAAATACCATTTTGGCGCCCCCCCCCCAAAAAAAACTTCCAGTGAGTAATGTATAGAATATATTCGTAATAAAAAAATAATGCAAATAATAATAAAATGCTGAATCTACCATAAAATACTCTAAATTATATTAAGAATAGTCACTACCTAGCTACACTAGCATTGGATTCGGAAATGTGTCTGTGTCAGCGGAAAAATCAGACATACGATGATCTACTAGAATTAGTTAAAAAAATTATTATTTATTTTACATATTTTTATAATTGTTTTTGAAAAAGTAGAATTTTTAAACAATTAAAAGTTTAATATGAGTTATAGATAAGTAGATATGTTTATTAATAATAATATAATATTATAATTCATTAATACAATTAATTACTATGTACACATTTTTCTTGCCTTGGGTGAAGCAAATTTATCAATTACTTCATCAAAGTCGATCCTTTCAAATTTTTTCTTTCCACATTTAAAATTGCTAGATGACTTAGGGAATCTTGTACCATCGTTGACTGTAAATATGTCCAAATTTATTTTAATTTGTTGAACGAACGTTCATAGTTCATAGAACGAACGTTCATTTGATAATGAAATAATAAGGAGTATTTGGAGTGCAGCTCTTAGGTTTGGAAAAACATTTTCTCTACAGATCTGTAATGGAGTTTTAGGTTCCGTTTCTTTTCTACTGCATCTTGCAGTCATATTCCCTGCTCAAAGTAGTTAGGGGATATTGTGGGTTCGGTGTGAAAATTGGAAAATTAGGGGATATTGTGGGTTCGGTACCGAATTACATTAATCGAAAAAGATCATGCTCAAGCCATGATGAACCAACACAAGTCATATAGAAAGCTAAAACGTAACCGAAAAAGATCACGCTGTCAATATGGGGGTGATATTACAAAGATGTGCTTATTTTGAGCTGCTGCCCAAACAAAAAAACGATCAACTCAGATGTTTACTTTCAACAACTTATGAAACTGGAGGAAGCAATAAAAGAAAAGAGGCTAGAATTGGCTAATCGCAAAACCATCGTGTTCCACCACGATAAAGCCAGGTCTCCCACGTCTTTAGCAACATGTTATTGGACCTTGATTGGGATGTGATGTCGCATACCCAATATAGTCCCTTGCACTATCGGATTACTATTTATTTCAAATTTTACAAAATTTCTTAAATGGTAAACATTTCAGTAATAACGATGACCTCAAATCGCATTTCGTAAAGGTTTTCTCAGCGCGGAATCATAAAGTTACCTGATTGGCAAAAGATCACCGAACCATATAATCGACAACCTTTTTAACAAAAGGAAATAGAAGAGATTATAAAGGAAAATTATAACAAAGTTGGGCATATGCAAATTTAGTCTGTGACGTCGAAAATTATGCGTTTTAGATAAGGAGTAAGGAGCAACCTGCAGCATTCCTTTTGTAGTAGGAGATTAAAAACAATTGACACGCGTTGAAAGCTTTGTAGCAGTTAATATATGATGTCTCAACAAGATTGCTTAGTTGAATCAGTAGCCAGGAAAGCCATCAGTCGTTTACAGGAGAGTCAAACGCAATCCATTGTAGCGGGAGCGTTAGGAGTTTCCGAAAATGTCATTTGTGGACTATGGAAACGGTTTCTGGAAACAGGATATGTTTGAGAAATTCGGGACAAGGTCGTGTTATCATTTTAAGATAAAAAAAGCGGGAGCTATACTTGCATTTCGTTCAAAAAAATTAAAATACATCTCTATTTTATAGAAATAAAGTGGTCAGAAAGAACGTTTTGTATGCGGATATATTTGGTTGAGGTACTGCAAACATTTTATTACACATTTTATCAGACAAATCAAGAAAATAAATAATTAATTATATTACAATAATTATTAATTTTTAATATATTTTCTAGAAAACGATCAAAATAAAAACCGAAATTTTCCGGAAAATCTTGTTTGGAGACCATTTGGCACATCTTCGCGAGCAGCGCCTGGGGCATCATACACTCTCTTGCGTCCCCCCCCCTCGCTACGCCACTGGGTTTAACAAAATCCATCACCAACTAAAATCATGATCGTTTTTGCGTATAACAACAATAAGAGTTCTTGGCCATCTTGTTCGAAAATGTCCATTTCTAAAAATCGTTTCTGCACTACCATCTCTGCCGTGCAATTTGGATGAACGTCCGACACTTTTATATAATACCGTACTCCTTACCGAATTTATATATTTTTTTTCTTTTCAGATTTGGCAGCTGATACTTTCAGGTTTATAATTGTTATTTCACGGCCAATTTTAACATGGGGTTCAAAAATAAATATTTTCGCCATATTTTACTTTTTTATTTTCGTAAAGGCATGAAAACGGCAGACGCTTGCGAAGAGATACGTGAAGTTTATGCTGTTGATTGTTTAACAAGAATGCGTGTGTCAGAGTTGGTTTAAAAGGTTTGGTTCTGAAAATTTTTCACTTGAAGATGACCAAGGTTCTAGCCGAACTTCTGAAGTTGATGATGACAAAATTAAACCCATAGTTAAATTGAACTGTGCAAGAGTTTTCAGAAACTGCGCAAGAGTCAAATAACTGTGCAAGAGTTTTCAGAAAGATTAGACGTACCACATGCAACAACTGAAAATCGCGTAAGGTGTGTTGGGCACATTAAAAAGCTCGATATTTGGGTCCAGAGGATATTGAAAGAAATTCATTTAACACAATGAATCAGTTTTTGAGATTCGCATTTCAAACGTAATGCCATTGAACCTTTTTTCAAGCCAATTATAACCTGGTGTTGAAACATGAATCATCTACAATAACATTAATCGAAAAAGATCATGCTCAAGCCATGATGAATCAACACAAGTCATATAGAAAGCTAAATCGTAACCGAAAAAGATCACGCTGTCAATATGGGGGTGATATTACAAAGGTGTGCTTATTTTGAGCTGCTGCCCAAACAAAAAAACGATCAACTCAGATGTTTACTTTCAACAACTTATGAAACTGGAGGAAGCAATAAAAGAAAAGAGGCTAGAATTGGCTAATCGCAAAGCCATCGTGTTCCACCACGATAAAGCCAGGTCTCCCACGTCTTTAGCAACATGTTATTGGACTTTGATTGGGATGTGATGTCCTATACCCAATATGGTCCCTTGCACTATCGGATTACTATTTATTTCAAATTTTACAAAATTTCTTAAATGGTAAACATTTCAGTAATAACGATGACCTCAAATCGCATTTCGTAAAGGTTTTCTCAGCGCGGAATCATAAAGTTACCTGATTGGCAAAAGATCACCGAACATAATGGAAGATATTTGACTGATGAAAATTCATTTTTATATAGGGAAAAAAAAACTGAGTTTTATTTTACCCTAAAAAAAAACGAAATTACTTTCTTACCAATCCGATATTTATTTTGTTCTTTTCGCATTTTTACTTTCTTGTACGAAGTAAAAAGGAAGTATTGTAATCGCGAAAAGTTTCAGGCAGCATATTTCAACGAAAATATCCATTTTGACCGCTATCGAATGCAATTTAACGATATTTTTGCGTGATATCTATACGTAAGGACAGAATCAAAGACTCGCTTCCTCCAAAAAAATTATAAAACTGCTTTAAAATTAATTCTGAAGAGAATTTTTTGTGGCGTCTGTACGAACGTATGTACGTACGTACGGTTAAGGTTTTTATGTCTTTATTAAATCTGTATGCAATATTTTTAGGATTATCAACAATATTAAAGTTGTTTAAGGGCCGCTAAGCCTAATA